ACAAATTAATAAACACTTTAATTTTAATAAAAGAGAAGGCAATTCCACAGATTTTATTAAATTTCTTTACTTAAATAAGTTTAAAAGTGGAAAACATTAAAGTTTCAAATAAAAATTTATTTGAATTTAACATTTTAACCTCATTTAAATATTAAATTTTCAGAAAACTTTTGGCATTGGCCCCTCTTTAATTAAAATAAAATATTATGAATATATAAGTCTTTTAACACTATGTTAAAAATTCCCATTCAAATATATGGATATTTGTTTATTCTGGCATTTCTGAGCACTGTCTGAACATTTTTTCTACTGTTTTGTAGCTGATATTATGATTATTATTTTATTATAAATAAAATAGATGAAAATTAGTTCTATTTTTATTTCACAGTCGAGTTATTTTTATCAAAATTAAAAAACAAATTTTATGATTAAAGTAAAAGGTTAGCCTGTTAAGACGAGAAAGAAACTAAGTATCTCTGGCTTCTAATTGGTATAGACATCCGCTATATGTTATATCAAATCTTTTATGCACTAGAATTTGATTTATATTTGGTAATTTAATGGGTATGTGCTGGTTGTTCGTTTGAAATTTGTTTCGGCTATTTTCTTATTTTTATTGACTTGTGTTCGATACGTTCGCATTTATTTGCTATTTTTCAAACGGCGCGCAGTTTATTGAAAACTACACTCAGTTTAATTGAATGGCTGCGCCAAAGGTTTTAACAGGCTACCCCTCCCCAGTACAAAAGCCCCACAAGCTTCTTGCCGAACCCAGAACTCCAATTCGAATGCTTTCAAAGCCAATTGTTAGTGTTTGTGTGTGCGTCGGAAAGTTTTGCTCAGCACAAAAGTTGAGCGTATTTTCATTTTTTCACGCCAATGGGCCAAATTATAATTCCAGCTAAGAGAAAGAGTGGGATTGAGTGAGGGGTTGGCGGGAAAGGGTTGGCGGGGCGCTGTCTACAGCCGAAAGTGCTTTATGCCAAACTTTTTGTTCAGCACTTAGTTTTCAATTATGAAATTTGCATTACGCCGACCACTTGGCAAGCACAATATTGATATTGATTTTGATTTGCTTTCTATATGTGTATATGTACTATATATATGTATGCATTGTAGTTAAATATATATACAAGTCAGTTGGCTTGATTTATTCAGCTCTCAATTACTTAATTGCTGGCGAGACGAACGAAGTCGTCCTGCTGGCGGCACTTTCAGCTAAATTAAACAATTGATTGTCATGCAATTGCAATTGCCATTCCAATCGCACTTGCAATGTCTGCGTCATTAAGGCACTTCCCCAAGTGACTAACTCCCCGGAGGGCTATAGATACTGATGAAAATTTAAAGCTTACATTGAGAAATGTAGAAGTTGAGGCAGAGAAATGCGTTTAGTAAGACTTTTGTAAATCTTGCTTTAATTCTTTAGTCGCGGCTTGACGCTAACAATTCTCAATAAGTTAAAACTTTGAAGAGAGGCTCTAGGAAGCTAATGAATTAGGCAAGTTGTTGCTTGTTGGTCAATGTTTTTAACTTCTTAAGCTAAGCACTAAGTCGTCTTTCTAAGCTTCGTGCTTAGGAAAATTCCACTGCAAAATAGGAAGAAGTAAGGTCGCTGGTTCAAACCTATTATTAATTTATAAATATTTATTTATTATTTTTCGTTAACTTTTTTATTTCTTACAATGAATAATGCAATCAAAAAACCAGTAATAAATAATGAACGATGGTGCTTATAATGAGTTTATAATTATAAAAAAAAAGTCATATAATTTGTTTCTTATTTGTTATTGTTATTAACCACAATCTAATTGTGTGTGCTCGCTGAGCTTGTCAGGAGTTGGTGCAAATTACATAAATAAAATACAGCCTTTATGTTTGCATTTTGTTAGCTTAAGATGCTCATGTGAACTGTAGCTTTGAGTTGAGCCAAGCAGTTGGCCAAGCTGCTGCTATGCCAGGTCAAACAAAGCCACGCGCCATACAAAAGGCGGCCCACAGGCTTAAGACGGCAGGCATCAGGCCACACGCATTGTCTGATCCTTCGCAGTCCGGTGCAGGACATGCTAATTAGCTTTGGCTGTGGTCGGCTTTGCCCACTGACTGGGAACGCATCGCCGAAGGCTTTGTTAATCAGGCAGCTTCACCAGAGGCCGGACAACAGCTGCAGGCCCTGGGTCAATATTAGGTAAGTCGCATTTGCAGCCACTGCAACTGTTGCTGCGGTCAATAAATTTTGCGGCTGGCAGGTAAATTGAACTAATGAAATATTTACAATGGGCCGACGCACCCGACGCACCCGACGCACCTTGCGCCACGTTGAGCAAAGCAATTTTGACTTCATTAGCCAAATGCTGTGGTGTGTGGCAGAAAGTCAAAAAGTAGTTGTAACAAAAGTTGCCGCCGCGTCTTAGTTATGATAAATGTAAGTGGCAACCGCGGGGCAGCTGGGGGCAACAAATCACAGAAAACTAGCGAAAGTTTAATTTGAATTTCAAGTTGCGGCAAACTTTGTCGCAGTTGCCGCGTCTCTCATTTCCCCTCGGCTCTGCTTAAGTCTTTGTTTTCTTTTTCGCACTTGCCTGAGTGCGACAAATGCGCGGCAATTACTTTTTTAAAGCCCGCAACAAATTGATTGCTACTCGAAGGTGTGTGTGTGGGTGTATGGAGAGGAGAGTGGAGCGAGCGAGGCGCAGCGTTAAAATAATTCACATCGATAATGGCGCTTTAATCGCACAAAACTTCCGGCAATTTGCTGAAAGAGCGTTGAGTGCCAGCCACGGCATACCCTATTGGAATTCTAGACCCTCAGCCCTCCTGCCGACCAATTTGAACGCACCTCCCCCCCGTGAACGCACCCTTGACAGCTCCTCGAGCCGATTTGTTGATTTGCCTTCAGGCATTGAGCGCTCCTCATGCTGTGTTTACATGCTGTCGAAACATGGCCAAAATGAATGCCCTGGCTGACGCTGGTTGAACGCCTTTCTGCGCTAATTTTGTTAATGTATCCTGTGCATACACACCCGCACACTCACACCCGCACACCCACACGCAGACCCTCTTAATTTCGTGTTGTGCTTAACTTTTTCACTGAGCAGCGGTCTATAAATCCGCACGGCTTTGTGCAATCAGCGTTAACTTGTTTTGCCCTATTTCAATTTTTCTTTGCTTTTCAATGCTGCAGCGTTTCCGCGTTGCCTTTCTTATTCCTAGCATTATTTTTTTTTGGGAAAGATAAATAGAATCGCAGCCAGCTGCGCGATATGCAAATGTTTACTTTAGAGTTTCAGTAAATACCGGTCGTATACGTAATGTGAGCAGCATGTTTATCGCACACGGCGTATACGTAATACAATACTTAAGCACTTCATTATACTTAGGCTTACATTAAGATTTGGCTCACTCTCATGAGGTTGGTATTATATTTTAGTTCGGCATTTAAAGCCTTGACGGCTCGTTGAGGCGCATGAAATTGGCTCAGAACTGACGCTTGACCAGCTGCCCAACTGACAAAGGACACTTGACGTCTAAGTTGTCACCGGACAGAAGGGAATCTGCTCGGCTGCTGGCAAATGCAATTGGACAGCAGCAGCAGCTGCAGCGACCCACTATTCGAGCTGTAAGTTTATTGTTAATAATATGGAAAACAAGAATTTTGGTTTGCATAAATATGCTTTTACAATTAACAATTCAGTTTCTAGTTGTATACTTGGGTTTATTTATACAAATTTGAAAATTTAATTTAATTTATATCAAAGATTCGCCACACACAAGGTAAGTTATAAAATTATTGAAATAATTACTTACAAATTTTAGTTGTAATTTTTCCATTTCCTCCCTTTTCAATTGCTTAAATACAAAAATATCTAAATAAAAACGTGTTATTAAAATGTTTTATTTATTTATTGATCTCAATTTTCAATTCAATTTGATGATTGTATTGTATTTATTTATTGTGAATCAATATTGATTAAACCAATAGAGAATGTGCAAACAACTAATTTGCGCTTACATGGAAATTAAATGGGCTTTCGGATAATACGGCTCGATTGATTTGCAAACAAAATTAGCTAAGTATTATTGAATAATATGTCATATTTGTCTGAATGGCATGAATATATAATGAAAATATCAAAATTTCTATTTATTCCATTTGCATAATTGCATGCGAATTAAAGCGCCTGCCAATTGAGCGATAATACCAAACATTGTGCAAATATAGTACACATATATATATATTCACAATTGGCAGAGAGCACAACATGCGTAAATAATTCACAGTAGTGTGGCATCAATTTTAAGCGCGCTTTGCAAATTGCAATTAACAATTCGCAATGAATATGTAGATATTTTCATATTTTTGCGGCAACAACAACAATATCAGAGGAGTCATAAATTGCTAAATGTGCAATTATCTACAGAAATATTTGCTCGCCATAAGTTGTTGCAAAGATAATTCAGGCTGGCAAATTGCAGCAAATGCAGCTGGCTAAAAACTGAGAGCACATCAAGAACATAACATTTTCAAAGAGGAGTATTCTGGTTTTGAGATGCTTTAAGATGAAAGCTTTATTTTCGACGAGCTGTTACTATAGGAATCATATCACTTGGGAATCCAATTTGATATGGTTATTTTCTTGAATGATGTACTGCAAACTCATTAGTCGACCAATTCTTTCTAAAGAGTTATATGATATATTTGTGAATAGATGTTGATACGCTTATGCTACGATTGTTGAAAATGCCTTGTTTAGTCGAGATATCTTCAAAAACAAAGAAGAACATACAAGTAACTAATTTTCGACCTATCATTCCTACGGAGGTTGAATGATATAATAGTCCGATCCGAAATATATCGAAACATATATATTACCTGCAACATAGAGAAGGACCTGTGGTAAGTTTAATGTGGCCAGAGTTAAGACTGAATGATATTAGCTTCCAAAAGAGTAGACAGCCATGATTATATCGACTCGACAGTTGTTACTATATTATATATTTATTTATTATATTTTCTTTTCAGAAACGCCTTCTGTGCATCTCACATTTACTTATTATTACTATGATGACTTCTACAAGGGAACAAGAAGAAACGACTACACATGTCGTTGCTGGCATTTTGCATTTGTTGAAAGGGCCCTGAAGTGTAGCCAAGGATGCGAGTAAGAGATATAACTTCATATATAGCGCCTGTTATTCTTATTGCAGACACATTGCAAAGCATCAAATCAATTTTGTATTTTTCAAATAAAAATCGCATAAAGTTTTGCGAGCGATTCGTTTTGCCATTTGCCATTTACCGCTTGCCCCGCCGTCATTTGCCGCTTGTTTACAAAACGGAAGCGCCCGTAAAAGTATGCTATGAAATTTGTAGAGCTCTGGCGTCGACGGCTTTGAACGCATCAACGGCAATCGAGCGCTCCGAAACAAAACACCAAAACTTTTGCAAAAATAAAAAAAAAAGCAAAAAGCCTTTGCTGCGTTTCTTTTACTTTTTCGGCTGCTATTTTATGTATTTTCTTTCTGCTGTTAGTTAAAATGGAGAACAAACTTTATGGTAAATAATTCAAATGTTTTGCATACATTTTGAGCTATCTTTCTGTTTGTTTGCCTTTGTGGCTGATTTTAACTGACAACACAGGTATAAAGGGTATTATACATTATGTTGTCTGACCCCAACGAACCTGTGTTGCTTAGAGTTGAAAATGCAATGGTGGAAATTGTATTAACCGGCTTTGCGCGAGCCAAATATTTGTGTCTAAATATTTTATTCAAATGCAAAATAAACAATTTATTTATATATGAAATAAATATATATTTTAATAAATATTTATTATCAGCTTTGCTTCGCTTAATCTAACATATATTTGAATATGAAAAAAAGAAACTTGAAAAGAATCTAATATATTAAATTGAGCTATCATATAAATAATCACGAGTTTGTTAGGCACATTTTTTTCACTCAATTTAAATAGGGTAAAGACTTAAGCAAAGCAAGGGAAAGCTTTTGGCTTTCAAATTTTTTACGACAAACTAAATTAAACATGTAAAGGGAGAATGTAAAGCATTCAACTAAATTAAACATGTAAAGGGAGAATGTAAAGCATGTGTGTGCGTATGTGTGCATAATTTGTATAGAATTGTGTGTGGACTGCTATTTATATAATTTACGCAATGTCGCAACTTCCGCGTAGAAGTTGGTGAGCAAAATGCGAATATAATAACAACCGTAAGTCGTGTTATTTACCGTTCCAAACTTTGCGCTGCGGTTGACATTTCGTGGCATGTTCGTGGTCTGGCCGAAAGACTACACGCAGCACGAATGTAAGCGAACTTTAAGATGTGATTCAACCTGAAGCTTGATGCAGTTATCCAAGGTGGTAATAAAAATTCGAGCACAATTCAAGTTGCAACAAACGAAGAAAGAGCGTGTCATACAATTTGGCGTCGTCTCAATATGTGACAGTGGAGAAAAGAAAATCGAGAAGAAAAATGAGGAAAAATGAAGGCAAAAAGTAAGGACTGTGTAGATATCGTGTGCATTTGCCGTTGCTTGCCAGCGATTTTGACAGTTTGCTAAATTACGCGACATTAACTTAATAGACTTTCATATATTTGGCAGACATTTGGCAGCTGCAGCATGGAAAGCCACAAGGCTAACAAAAATGCCAAAGGCAATACAAAATAACAACCAGTTACGTGTGTGTACGTACAATCGACCCTCACATAAAATGAACATACATTATATATTTACTATATATATATTCCTATATATATATGGCATACAATATCAATCCTGTCTTCGATTTTTTGTTGCTGCCAGTTGCTCCGTTGGAGCCGTCAACAGGCGCCAAATACACTTGGCCAATATCAATTTTTATTGAGCTCTGCGAGTAGAACACATAAAAATGTTTACTATGATTTTTAAAGCATACTTTCAGGCGTTCAGCGTCTCAGTTATTTAATGCTTGCATGAGCGAAAATGTTTACATAAATCAAGCTTTAGGAATTGAGCACTAAGCGAATACTCTTACCAGTGCAGTAAAAACTCTTAAATTCTTTAACATTGTTAACACTGATTACACTAAAAGATCCTAAACTGAAGGACTTTTTTCTTAAAATCAACTGTTTTAAAGTGGTCTACAAACATTCTCTAGTGTGTTCATATTATTTTCAGTAAAAATACCTAAAAAGGCGTTGTCCCATTGCAAATTTCTTAGTCTTATAGAGCTTTACAACACTGTTCAAATTCAAAGTAAATCCTTACCTCACCTGACCCCCTAGCGTCTCTGTCCTATTTCCGGACTATACAATAATTCTCTATAACGACCACAGATACACTTTAATTATTTTAATTACATTGACAGCTGCAGATGTCATAATTATACTCTATTCCACCTACTTACAATACTTACATAATATGGCAATAGGTTACCTATTTGACTATATATAGACATATAGAAAATAAATTCAATCAGATTACACATTTCCGTTTCCGTTACCGTTCCGATTTAAATTCGCATTTGCATTTCTATTCGCATTCGCATTCCAGTTGTTAAACAATTCCGCCACATTTTCCATATTTATCACAAATAGATCGTCATCGTTGAATACCATGTCGGGATAATCGTATTCCTCGTCGCTGAGGAACCCCTCATTGACCATATAACGATCGTAGTCCGGATCCAGCTCATCATCGGAGCCGAAGCTATCATAATCATCTGAATAGAAATCGAATTCCAATAGATTGGACATTCGCACCAGGCACAGATCCGAAGATGAGGGCGGCGCCAGGCACGCATCGATGATATCCTTGGCGGCCACATCCGCATGCTGCAGACTGAACTCATTAATTTTGCTGCCATAGACATGCATGCGGATGGGCAGCTGGCGCTGGTTCTCCTTGTCGCGTATCTGCAGGCGCAGCTTGAAGATGATGTCGTGGAGCAACTTCTCGGTTAGCCGCGGACACTCCTCCAGATGAAGCTCGTGCAGCTTGGGGCAGGCCATCAGCAGACGCAGCACCGCATTGTTGCCCAAATTGGGCCAATACTTGAGACTGATCTGCTCCAGCTGCTGCAGCCGGAGTGCCTCCAGCTCGCGATCCCCAATGGCATTGTTGTGCGGCAAACTGAGTGTATGCAATGCGTTCAGCTGGCCAATCTGCGACAGCATCTCCGCATTGATCGAGTTCTGGCCGCGCGCCTCAAAGTGCAGCAACTGTTCCGATTTGTGCTCCACCAGCCAAGTGAGCAGCTCTGGCCGCAATGTGGTGCCCTGCTCATAGCTGTACAGCACCAGCTTCTTGAGACCGGGCAGCTTGGCAATGTGCTCGTACTCATTGGCCGGACCGCTGCTTATCGTGAGCTCCTCGAGCGCCGAGCAGCACTTGCCGCTGACCACCTGTTGAAAGCCCGTGGTTATGGTGTAGACCGCCTTCATGTTCAGCTCTCTGAGCTGGGGCAGCGCCTTGCATAGCTTGGGCAAGTACTTGGACTGCAGCCCATTGCAGCTCGTCAGGCTGAGGTAGACTATGGACGCTGGCAGATAGTTCATATTCAGACCGGTCAGCTGATGATTGTCCGACAGATCCAGACGCTTCAGTTGCAGCAGATGCTTCAGTGCCAGCAAGCTCGAATTGCCCAGCGCACAGGCGCGCAGCTGCAGCTCCTCCAGCCGGTCCAGCCTGGCAAAGATCTTGTGCATATTTCGCACACTCAGCTTGCTGGCCGTCACGCGCATCGTTCTCAGATTGATACAGTGCTGGCCAAAGAACTCGCACAGTCGCTGGCAACGACCCGGCGGTATGATGCCCTCGATGTGCTGCAAATGCCGGCCGGAGAGCATGAAAAAGTCACGCATATCCCAGACGGTCATCGCATCGAACACATCGAAGCTGATGCAGCGATTCAGCGCCGGCGACACCTGCTGATAGACGCTTCGGAATCGGCTGCAGGTCCGCGCAAAATGTATGCGATCCGGCAGCGACAACAGACGCATTATGTGCTCCAAACAATGATCATTCAGATTCAAAATATCCGCCGACGGCGACGACGACGACGACTCATCGCCAGCAGCTGGGCTGGGCTGCTCAGCGGATGGGCGGGCCGGGCCGTAGGCATCGGGCTGATGCCAGCTATCGTTGGCCTGGACGGACAGACGACGCCCATTGATGGTGTGCAGATTTTTTCGCAGCGCCTTGGCCGCATCTCGCGGATTGGCAAAGTAAACGTAGCCTGTTTTTGTCCTCCGGCCACCACCATCGCCACAGCCGCCGCCGCCGCCGCAGCCATCGCGCGGCATTAGCTTCCGGTTGGCAGCCATGCCCGGTCCGGCAAACAGTTGCAGCCGCAGCACACGGCCAAAGCCCTCGAAATATGTTTGCACCTCCTGCTGCAACAGCTGAAAGGAGAACAGCTCAAATAACGACAAGCCACACGCACACACACACACACAAAAAGGCCCCCAACCTTCCCCTTCACTTGCCTCGGCTGCCACATTGTAGAGAAACAGTTTCTTCACCAGGATGTGGTCCTCCGTGTAGGCAACGCTCTTCTTAAAGTAATAATTCTGCTGCGAGGGATTGTTTATGAAATTTGCCATTTTTGCGGGACACGTGCCCCGTTCTACACACACACACACGCCTTTTTCTTGCCCAATTCGATGTTTAAATAATGCTCGGCATGCTCTCTTATTTTTGACAATCCGAAATCTATTGGCTGTCACACTTGTTTTCCCAACGACATGTCCTTTAGATTGATTTAGCTGCGTCTAAAAAATTATTTGTAATTAATAAGTTTTTATTTTGGTTAAAACTCAAGAGTCTACAAGCTTTCTTGACAATTGCGTACATGTCAAAATATAACGTAGGACCGTATTCGTCACATAAGTGTTGTAAAGTATATCATTTTCGTGTTGTAGCATGCTGCAACAAGTGTTGCAAGTCGAATCCAATATACATATTTACCCTTGCCAATTGCAATTTCGAGAATCTAACAATGTCAAATAATAAAACTGAAATATAATTTATATTTAAAATGTGATTAAAGAAATATATAATATTTAATAACTAAAATATCGAATTAAAACCAAAACTTTTGTAGCCAATTTTTTTAAACCTGGTTTTGTGGTTTTTCCTTCTGATAAAATTAACATTTAAAATTTCATAAAAACTTTCTCAAATACTTTTGTCTTAAGACTTTAGTATCAACATTTTTTATTTTTGATTAATTGAAGGAATAATTCCATTTAAATATTTCATATACTTTAATTGGTATGCAATGTGCCTGCTTCAAAGTTTTCCTTTCACTGCCAATGAACACAATTTTCGCAAGTCTTGTCAAACTTTACTTCCAGTGCTATCTGCAAGCCGGAAAGCGTATTAAAAATCTGTCACAAGTGCAGGCAAGCAGTAGATCTAGCTGCAATGATATGCGTGTGCAGGAGTGAAAGAGAGGAGCGATAGTTAGCGAGTGAGAGCGAATGAGTTGGGGGATAACAAGTGAAAAAATTGCATGTGCAGCAGAAATTAGTGGGGACGCGTCGCTTGTTCCGCTGCAATGCCTGCACCGATGCTTTTGCTGCGTTAAGCAATAAGGCAGGACACCCAGGCATACGCACACACACGCTAGCACACACACGCTAGCACACACACACGCACAGGCATACACACACACACGCGCACTTGGAGCTAGACTCACAAATGCCCAGCTGTACCTTTCAGTCAGCGCAAGCTCGTTCTGCTACTTTATGAGTGCTTAACAGGGCCTGAAATGGACTTGTAAATAGAGCCACTTGATTTTTTAGTAGGTTGTCAGGACGAATTGGAGTAGAATGAATGTTGGAACAGGTGTAAGTAGAAACCAAAAAAGATCTTCGATATTAAAGCATTTAAATTAATCATATGTTACCTTCACAGTGATAGGTAAGGCAAGAAATCAGCGAAGTTGAACACAGGCAGCAAAAGAGGACATTTCTTGGATTAAGTAAAACGAAACGAATCAAAAACACAGCGAAGATTTTGCTGCAATGTTGGTAAAGTATATGGAAACATATTTCTTCAAATAGGTAAGTATTATGCTGATATAGGTAACGATACCTTTTAAGACCAAAAATCAGTGAAAATAGAAAGATGCAGTAAGAATATATTAGAGTACTTAACTCTGCATGCGCATATTACTGAAACCTATGCTGAATTTTACGTTAACTAATCAGTGAATAATTAAATGTGCTGCAAAAAACATATAAAAGTAAATACCAAGTTTGCATATCAAAGTGAAGTACGCATATCCGATGTAACTGATAACATAATCATATTATTCATGCACCAAAGTCCGACTGGGCGTATACGTATATCACTCAGTGTTATGGTTATCAGCACAGTTGCTGCCTTGTTGCATTGTTGTTGCTGCTTCCGTTCTCCTTGCACCGTTTCCCAGACACTTGAAACTGCTAACAACGCACGATGGCGTTAACATTGCGTATTGTTGTTGTTGCTGCTGCTGTTGTTGTTGTTGCTGCTGCTGCTGTTGTTGTAGCCTTGTCAGTGCTGTAGTTGTTGCTGTTGCTGCTGCTGCTGTTGTTAGTTGCCATCCATAAATTCTTGCATTAATGGCAATGCGGTGCCTGTTAGAGGAGGCGTGGCTGCATTTGATGCTTCCTCTTTCATGTAAATGTCACCAAGGCAAACTTGCAATGATTGCACCGCCTTCCCCCTCTGCTCACAAGTGCCGTCCCTTCTGTGCGCTTCTAGCACAAAATCCCTTCTATCAGTTTTGCAGCGCGTTTTGATTGCGGTTGCAATTGCAAAAAGAATTTTGTAAACATATTTTTTACAAAATATATTTTTACTCCAACGCATTTGACTGGTGCATTTTTCAACAGTTCTCTGCTATTTTATTTTCTTTTTATTTCTGTTTTGAATTTTTTTTAATGCTCCGCACAAAATCCAATTTAAGCGTCGGGCACGAGGATGAGTTTATTTTAAGTAGTTTTGCAGCGAATTCCCTCAAGCATTTTGTGCGTACATGCTGATAACTGAACCGCATGGAATGGGGAGGGGATTGGGGGGGGGGGGGGTAGGGGCAAGGGTAAAGGATGGGCGCACAATTGGAAATGCCAGGCGGCATTAAAATTCAATACACAGTCAAACATAAATTCGATAAGTTTGAATTCGGGCAACAGACCGAGAGAGCAACATGTTTTATTTGCCCGGGCGACGTGCGTACAAAAAATACATGTTGTGTGTGCCTGTGTGTGTGTCTCTGTGTGTGTGTCTCTCTGTGTGTGTGTGTGTAGTGGGAAGCATAAATTCAATAGCGCAAACATGCGACTGCCGTTGTCAGGCCCCTTGGCCAACAGCAAGCCCCGCAAGCCCCGCAAGCCCCGCAAGACCCGCTCTCCCTCTCACTCTCTCTCTGTCTCTCTCTCTTTCTATTCGACTCTACATACAGGCAAATAATAAAATAAAACTTTATTGACACAAACATAAAACTCCCAAATGGACGTCTCACTCTCTCTCTCTCTTTTCCATCAGGCTCTCTCTGTCTGTTTCGCACACTCTTTTACATTTTGTAGATAGACAAATTTATGCATGTGTAAATATTGTTGGCATTTGATAAAACATATTGACAAACATTTGAATTGAACTTTAAACAAATTTCTGTTACATATCGCAACGTTTTATTCCCATTGTGCACAGATTTATAACAAAAATAAAAAATAAATACAACACAAAAAAGTTGACAATGGTCAAAAGTTTCCAAGAACTAACTCACAAGTGCCATCACATGAGCCTGGACGTACAAATTGCAGAAACGCGCCTTATGGACGATTTAGAAGATAGACAGACAGTGGCAGCTGACAGTTTTCGCAGAATATATTTGGAAGAATATATTTGTATACCTTATAGAACGACTAAGTATTGCAAATATGAATGTTAAAATTACACTTGAATCGGTAGATGGGAAGTCGGAGTGAGCCATTCCTTAAGCAGGACCCTAGTTCGAATCCATCAGGCCTTAGTAGCCTGTGGGCTCAGCTTCTACATATATTCATATTTTCTGTTAATCTTACTGAGTGTTCAGAATAGTAAATAGTAAATAAATAGTATTTATTAAGTATACTACTGATTAAATTTACTTAAAACATAGAAACAGCTTGTTATGAAATTGATGATAGCTGAGAAGTCTTACGTGATATTTGCATATCAACTGCTGATTGCTTGGGGCCCATTTCAAGGCATAGTTTAACTCACATTAAGCTAAATTCTCAAATTCAAATTACACTTTTGCTAAAGACTTAATAAAACTCGTTTGTACACTGTTTTATTTCCACTGTTAAGCTCTTCATATCTGCACTAATAAAAGAACATGCACAACTTTTTATGCGGCAACTTTTAATACTTAAGCTCTTTCTCTGCATACCCTGTTCAAAAAATAGTACTAATAAGGGTGTTACAAATTTGTGCGTGTGTATGTAATACACAAGGCATGATAGCTATTAAGTCAGAAAATGTTTAGCTTAGGCATCTAAGTTTTATGTAGATCAAGCAATTGACTTTGCTATGAACATCAAGATTTAGAACGTGGACAAAAATATAAGGAAGTTCGCTTCTTATAATAGTTTGGAGAGCCTGATTTTAGTTGAAATTAAAAAATTAAAAAAAACAAAATCAGTTTTATGTGCGTTCCAGCCATGTAAATGATGCACAGGGTATCTGCTAGTCCAGCTACAGGCACTTAACTTTTTAAATGCTCTTTTTGCAGTTGCTGCTGCTGCTCGGCTCATTTAACGAAACAATTAAAATGGCTTATGCACTAAACTGGCAAAAAAACAGTTAAGCGACAGTTATGTATGTGTGTGTGTAAGTGTGTAACAGAATGCGTATATGTGTGTGTGTGTGTGGCAGCTTAAAATGCCAGGCAGAGCTGTGAGAAGAATGACGCAACATTTGCATTTGCCGCCTAATAGAACTTTAATTGTTTTGGCCAAAAGGTTTCGCTTTCGGATTTTGCAGTTTCAGCCAACGGCGCATTAAAATGCAGGCTGCGAACCGATTATGTACCGAACCGGTTACTGAACCGGGTAAATATTTGTAACTTTATTTATGATAAATTGAAAATTACAAGAAATTTGAGGAGCCAGCCAATCCTGGCCATACGGATGTGGAAAACAAGTCTAAGGAAGCGAACCTGAAGGCAAGGCTTGAACCGTAAGCCAGGCTAGCAGATATGAAAAGAATTCCGTTGATAACGTAACAAAAAACCTGTTAATATGCGTGAGCGGGACCTGCCAGACAGCTATTGACAGACAGGTTAAGTTGATGAGGCGCACTCGCTGGAAGCACATGCTAGTTTATTTGCCAAAACAACAGCAGGAGCTGGGCCGAGGCAGGGCACCGCGCACTATAACTGCAAGTTTGCCAGACTTATGGCTAAAAGTTGCAAGAGTTGCGCAGACTTTGTTATTGGCCCGATAAGGCGCACAGGCACGAAGCCGACGGACTGGCAGAGGGAAGTGCAGGCTGCTAAACTGAAACGTGCAAAATTCTTAGGCAAATTTCCACAGTTTTTGACATGTGCGACATTAGATTGAACAGCAGGATCATAAGCATACATATATGCTCTGCATAGCAGTGTGTGTGCATGTGTGTGTGTGTGTGCGACTTTCATTATGCTTAGCTGAAGCCGCAACTAATAAAAGCTTTATGGCAGCCCACACACACACACACACCCACACAAACACATACACACAAAA